TTTCAGAGTTTCCTTCTCTTAGATGAGTTGCCGTCCAAGGTTAACGAGTCCCATCTACCCGGGGTGCTGGTGGTGTTTTTGCTCTAGCTGGAATTGAACTCCAGACCACCAACTTGAGATTTGCTCAGTTTAGACCACTCGGCCACCCAGCGTTTGTTTTAAATGTGGTAAATTATAGATTTGTATTTTGTTGACTTTGTACCGCGCTTCGAGCCTTTGGGGATGAAGAGTGTTTTTTAAATGAACTTTATTATTATTATTATTATTTTGAATGATAGCTAATTCATAGCTGAAGCCATTGCTTGTAAAAGATTTCTTATTTTAAGATTCGGCTTCAGAATAAAATAGCTTGTCATTATTATTATGCACCGTGGAATGTATAATCCATAGTTCTGAGAATGCTTTGAATTAAAAGTGTTGTTTAAGTTTCCCTAAACCAGACATTGAACAAATGGTAACATTGTACTAAGCCCATCCAAAGCACACAGTTAACCTAACTAACTGAGCGATGGAGATATAAGTTACTAGTACCAAGTGTAACTGAGCGATGCAGATATAAGTTACTAGTACCAAGTGTAACTGAGCGATGGAGATATAAGTTACTAGTACCAAGTGTAACTGAGCGATGGAGATATAAGTTACTAGTACCAAGTGTAACTGAGCGATGCAGATATAAGTTACTAGTACCAAGTGTAACTGAGCGATGCAGATATAAGTTACTAGTACCAAGTGTAACTGAGCGATGGAGATATAAGTTACTAGTACCAAGTGTAACTGAGCGATGCAGATATAAGTTACTAGTACCAAGTGTAACTGAGCGATGGAGATATAAGTTACTAGTACCAAGTGTAACTGAGCGATGCAGATATAAGTTACTAGTAACAAGTGTAACTGAGCGATGGAGATATAAGTTACTAGTACCAAGTGTAACTGAGCGATGGAGATATTCGTTACTAGTACCAAGTGTAACTGAGCGATGGAGATATTCGTTACTAGTACCAAGTGTAACTGAGCGATGCAGATATAAGTTACTAGTACCAAGTGTAACTGAGCGATGGAGATATAAGTTACTAGTACCACGTGTAACTGAGCGATGGAGATATAAGTTACTAGTACCAAGTGTAACTGAGCGATGCAGATATAAGTTACTAGTACCACGTGTAACTGAGCGATGCAGATATAAGTTACTAGTACCACGCACCTTATCAGAATCCTTCTTTTAAAAACGCTGTAGCACTTATGAGTAAAGTTTATCAAATTATTTCTGAATTAATTAAAGTTAAAAGATTTTTACATAGTTTAATTAAAAGTTCAGTTACATGTAACAATATTACATTTGTATTGCGTTGTCATCCTCCATATGCTAACCTCTTTTCTGAGTATTTGTTGGTTTTTCCTGTTTAACACAGGGAGCGCTATGGGTAGGTTTATGGTGCCCAGGGGGCGGTTGTCACATAAAGTTTGAGAAACATTGGTATAATTAATATTGTTTTTGCCACTGGTAGCCTACCTCTTTTTGAATGTTAGATCAAAGGACAGAGCCAGACAGACAGATGGTTAGATCAAAGGACAGAGTCAGACAGACAGAAAAAGACGGAAAAGAGAGGGAGAGAGAAAGAGGGATGAACAAATACAGATGTACAGAGACAGAAAGACAGAATAAGGCAAAGAGGAAAATACTGGCAGACAGAAAAAGGGAGCGACAGATATGGACAGTCAGGTAAGACATGCAGAGGCAGATAGAGAGAGAGAGAGAGAGAGAGAGAGAGAGAGAGAGAGAGAGAGAGAGAGAAAGAGAGAGAGATACAGACATGAGGACAGAAACATGGAGAGACAGAAAGATGCAGAGAAAGAGAGAAAGGCGGAAAGAGACACAGAGGCGGACAAGGATCACAAATTAAATATGTATGGAGGGGTACAAGCTTCAAAATAAAAGACTAAATTCTCTGACGCTTGAATGACATGAAACCTAAAATAATTTTTTCAACACATAGTCGGTGTGTTGGCTTGACTCGCGTGTGGTAATGTGTGTTTGGAAAGGTAGCAACATACACAGGAACACTGGCGATGGCTTGCTTAACAATGACATTAAGACAGGAGTGTGGGGGGTTAGGAAGAGATGGAGTAGGCATGTGGTTAATATGGAGGAGAGAAGATCTTGAGTGAAAGTGAGAAAAGATCTTGAGGGAAAGTGAGAAAAGATCGGGAGGGATAGTGAGAAAAGATCTTTAGGGATAGTGAGAAAAGAAGAGTCCCAGATGGTTTACAAATAATCGCCATGAGAAATAAAAAAAAGTAATCATCATAAAGAAGAAATCACATTACAACTTAGTGAATGTGTCTTTTGATCAGCAAGAAACACTGTGCAACTGACTGCGACACTGTGCACCTGACGGGGACACTGTGGTCATGACAGGGTCACTGTGACAATTTGCGTTTTTTTTTCTTCTAGAATTGCGTATACCTCATACTGTCTGCATAAAGGGAGGGCGCCAGTTGACAGTTATGGGTCTAACCGTGCAGCAACTCTCAAAATATAGTCTGGTAAAACTGCCCTATTATTAAGGTGACGTGAGAAAATGCTATTAAAGGAAAATTTGAGGATCACTGAAAAAAAAAGGGGGGGGGGGGGGGTATGAAACTGTCAGCTGCTAAGATTAATAACAGACTTTGTCTCCGGTGGCCTTCTCAGCCATATAGAAGTGCATAGGTTTAGTTGTGGCTCGTTTTGTCCGGTCTGTTCAGCTTGTTCAAATGGATTTACCTTGCTTCAAATGTCTTTGTTAATTTGTTCCCGGCCCAGTCTTCTGTGTTTAATTTTAGTTGTGCATTTGCGAACCCTCTTACGGGAAGCGAATTGCGATTATGTTATTTGAT